TGAGTTGATAGTCTCTCTTTAGAAAAACATCACCATCAAGTTTATGTACTTTATATGAGTGTTTATCTTTTTGTCTGGATATTTTTCTTTTGTATTTTTAAAAATAAAGAAAGAAGAGTAGAATTCTTTTTAATTCTATATTTTTTCTCTCTTTTTTTTCTTGTTTGTTGTAAATGAATTGATATTACAATATCCCATTGGAATTTCACTTGGGATCTGAATTCAGAAAAGAAAGATTTTAAGTCTACTGCACACGTTAATATAAAAAGAATTGTGAAAAAGTTTTTTCATTAAAATTGTGATTTTAGTTTTTTTTTTTTTAATAAATTTATTTTGTTGTATACGTACAGTAGAGTTTGATTGATCTAGACACGTGATTTTAAATAATCGGACAATGATTTATTTTAATTTCTCCGGCACGAAAAAGAAACATTTCTATTGAAAATTCTACATGTAACATTTGAAGTTGTTACAATATCTCCGAATAATTGTTTCGGAGTTTAACTTAAAATAACGTCGTCTTCTTTCGGTTTAATATTAGTTTTGCTAATTAAACGTATTGGTCAATGTTTTGGCTTGATTTTTTCTCGATAACTATTTTTCCGAATTTTTTCGGAATGAATTTATATAAATTCGGAATTCCTTTTTTTGATATTTAAAAAATTATTATATCAGCCTATAATGTGCAAAGAAATATCATGCGGTTGCATGCGGTTTTATCTGTTTTTCATCTGATTTTGAATCAGGTAGTTCTAGATGAGGTAGGGAATTGAAAGAAAAGGCATTCGGCTTTGATATTGTATCTTTTCCGGTTCGGAATAACACTTCAAGCTCTTTTTGGCTAACCGTTTTTGAAAACCGTTGAAAAGGTGATGAAATGCTCTGCAAATTTTATTCTGAACATTTTTCATATATTTTTGGATTTAGCTCTTAGAAACTTAGCTCTTTGAAAAGGTCAAAAAAACGCTTATAAGTTTTTCTAACCACTTTCTAAGAAAAGTAGATTCCGTTAAACTCCAGACTTCGAAAAATGTTTTGCGGCATATTTAGCTTTCTTTTACTTATAACTTATTTGATTCCTACTAAACTCACTCAAGACGTCTGGCTAACGGCTGCTCTTCAGCAAAAATTTGTCATTTCTTCAACTTCTCGAACAATTTACTTATAAATTCGAAAATACAAAATTTTTAATTTATTAATGAAGATGTTCCTCTATTCCAAACCACATTTCTTCTCTCTCGAAATACAAAATATAAAATTAAAGTCACTTTATCTCATTTACAAAAATAACTTTTTTCCTCAAACCAAAACAATGATAAAATTGCTTACCAATATTTTTTTAAATGAAATAAACGAATGAAATGAAATTTAACTATTTTACAATTATTTAAAACTTTTTTATAATTCTTCCCCACACTACTTGCCGGCTCTTCCATATTTTATTCATCCAAACTATTATGAGTTAATTCTGTACAATAAAATGTTACAACATCTTTAAACACAAGTACCTACCTATCTCTATACCGAATTATAAGTATATGTAGGTACGTAAAAACCATGGCACTTTTATCTACCGTAAAAAATAGAAAGAGAAAAAAAATAAAGAATGAAAAATGAAACATGAAAAAAAAAAAATTAAAGTAAACTTTTTCTATTTTATTACTCTGAAATTTTTATTTAATTTCGAACTTACAATAACAATAAGAAAAAATACAGCGACACTCAAACAAACTTGCATTCACATAAACAGAAATACAAACAAAAACAATCTCGATATCAAAACAGAAAAATAACAACAAAAATAATAACAAAGAACAAAATAGAGAAACAAGAGAATTCGAAATAAAAAAGGATGAGAGAGTTTAAATAAATTTTTCTTTGATTGCGCGACGCCTTGTAAAAATAAATTCGTTTTTCAATTTTCAGTGACATTTTATTGGGCTACTTTGGCAAAAAGTTTTTAATTAAAGAAAAAAAAATTTCCAACTTATTTTCTGTTTTCTTTTTTTTTCATATAGGAGTCATTTCAGTATTTTTGTCTGTTTTTGCAATAAATAAAACTGAGTTGAAAACAATAACCAGAAATAGAGAATACAAAAAAGGATTCAGGAATTTTCAAATAAACTTTTTTTTTTTTTGGAAATTTTCATAAATTTACTTGAAAAATTTTGGATTTGTTTAAGAATTTTTGTGTTTGTGCATGTATTCATTGCAACTACAATGAAACCTCCCTACTTTTAACCCCCCGTTCTAGACCATACTTTAATTCAAGCAAGCTAAAATTTTCATTTTTTCAATTTTTCTTTTACAGGACCTTAAAATTTTAATTACAAAAAATATTTTTTGCTTTTTTTTTGTCTGTTTACATACGAAAATTTTTCTATGTTTTAGTTTTCTTCTTTAAAAGAAAACAAAACAATTTAAATAATAATAATCTAATTAAAATTAATTAAGTGCTTTATTTAAAGTGATTTTAATGAATGAGTTTTCAATGAAAATTTTTTTATATTATCGGTTCCACCGATCTTGTACTACAAGATTTTTATTTATTAAACTTTAAACGAAATTTAAGAGAGCAAAACAGCTGTTGTGCCATAAAATTCTTGGTGTGTAAGGGTAGATTCTTAATAGTAAAATAACACAGCAATAAATTCACACCTTCCGATTACTTTCAAAAAATATTCTTATATAATTAATAAAAATAATTTTTCACAGAGAAAATGTCACACTTTTTAAAGCACGTGCTTAGATTAATCATAATTTACAAAAAAAAAAGAAAAAATAGAATAAGTTGATAGTTTCTATAATTTTTTAGACATAATATCCAAATAACCTTTGAAGCTGTAGGGCAGCTACCTGAATCACCTGGTCCCTTGCCCGGTCCTTGAAGCTGCATGGCCACCTCGGTCCTATTCAATTTAAATAGAGTTCCGGTGTTTGTCAAAATTTTGTGAGCTTAGCTCAAGTAGTTTTTGAGTTATCGTTGACAGGAACGGAAGGACCGAAGGTAAGACATGGTTAAATCGACTTATATTTATATCTCTAACCAGATGAGCTATTGTATGATAATACAATTGTGGGTAGGCTAGGGGCTGCATCTTGGTTATTAAAACACTAACATATCTTCCCACTCCAGATTACTATTCCAAGGATCAGGTAGCTGCGCTGGTGAAGGTAAGGTTCCGGACAGAGGATTGAACAGAGTTTGTTGTATGCTCATCCTATATCCTGGGTGATTGTGTCCATCCAGACGAAGAGTTGAAAGATCTAGTGGACTTCCGTGAAAGAAGGAAGTTCCAGTTGATAATAGGAAGTGATGCCAATGCCCACTACATCGCCTGGGGAAGCAGTGATATTAATAAAAGAGGTGAGTGCCTAATTGAATTTATATTTAGTAATAAATTAACGATTATGAATGAGTGCGATAGGCTGACATTGATCAATGCAATGAGGGAAGAGGTTCTTGACATCACCCTTTGCACAAGGTTTATCAGTAATAGAATTGATGGATGGGTGGTCTCCAGGGGCCTGGCAGAAGAAATGTTTCGGGTGCCTCAGTCCACAGATTGGAGTCAATTTGAAACGCTCCTCATTGAGGGTGTTTGTTTCATTCCTGCTTCTGTCAGAACAACGCTGGATATCATGAGAGCTGCCTCGCCAAGTCGAGGCGGAGTAATAGGTGGTGCCCGTGATGGAATGAGGAGCTTTCAAGGCTTAAACAAAAGACCAGAAAGATCTTCAACAAAGTTAAGACGTCGGGCTAGTAGGGGGAATATAAAAGCTCAATCACGATATACAATAGAGAAATAAGGAAAGTGAAAAGAAGCTCATAGAGGGCGTTCTGCAAGGGTGTAGATGAACTCCCCCGCAGTGCGCGTCTTCACAGAGTGCTTTCCAAAAGGTATGGTAGCGGCCTAATGGTTCCATGACCGAGAATAGAAAGCAGACGTTGGAACTGATAGCCTAAACGCTCTTTCCTGACTCGGAGGTACTTCGGAATCTTTTGAATGCGGTGATTTAATTAAGAGCATCTTGGCCCTGGAGAGATGACTGTCAAAGGTCCCGTACGATCTTCACAATAGGTAGGATTAGGTGGGCTGTGTTTTCTTTCAAGCCCTTCAAATTTCCATGTGTTGACGGGATATATCCTGTGTTTTTGCAGAGGGGTTTCCAATATATCGCTAGAGCGTTGTTGGAAATTTTTCGTGCCAGAGCTTCAGAGGCGGGTTTGCATTTGAGAGACCGGGGCGATGCGGACGGCTCCCACTGCTGCTTTGGAGGTACTGATTGGGTTGTCACCACTGCACTTCCATATGAGGGAAGCTCTGGCGAGGACGAGGCGGGGCGAAAATTGGCACACAGGACTCACAGAGATTTTATTGAGAGCGACCCGATTCTAAGAATAACCAAGTCGGATTCCTGTCTGCCACGATACAATTTCGACTACAGGTACAGAGATCTGCTTCCCGATCGACGGGCGCGGGTTCAAAACGAATTCAAGTGTGAGTTCGGGTGCATACTTTGTCCGACCGTACACACGAATATATGTGAGCCTAGACTCGTATTGCATTATTTCAGCTTGGAAAGGGGATATAAAAACCGTAGGTTACATCTAGGTTGGTCTGGAGCTGCCTTACTGCACTTGTGGAATTTGCATCGGTAAACAGAGTAACGCTTATTTGGGTGCCTAGCCACAGTAGAGCAACATGTGGGCAACAAAGTTGCCGATGGGCTAGCGCAGAGGGGATTTGGGGTTGACTTTATGCAGCCGCCGCCTTTCTGTGATCTGCCTTCTTTCGCCGTGAGGGCTAAGCTCGCCAGCCTCCTTACGGCGGAATGCGGCCTTCGCTGGCGGGACACTAAAGGGTGCCGTCGGGCGAAGATGTTTCTTGCAGCATACTCGAGGAAGTTCGCCGCGGAGCTTTTTGAGATGAACAGGAGCCCGGTTCGGTAAGGCGTCACCTGCATAGGCTGGGGAAAACGGGCTCTGCCAGTGCAAATTATGCGGGGACAGTGATGAAACTGCCATGCAAATCTCGTGGTACTGGCTGTCCCGGAAGAGAAGAAACTGTCTGTTCTAAGAAGAAACAATTGCTCTACAAAAGAAATCTACAATCTGCTTATATCTAATTATTTCTTAGCGTTATAAACTATGAGGCAAATTTATAATACCTTCGTACATACATCCGTACGGGTATTAGAAATCTATTTGTAATATTTTCTGTGAAATAAATATTAGCGGTATTGCCACTTCTTATACAACCTTAACTTTTAAGTATTAGTTTGAGATCTAACGGATTATTGTGCGCAGTGCTCTTTGTAATTTTCTCAAACTGACTTAAATGTTGATTGCTGACGTTGTAATTTTCTTAAACTGACTTAAATGTTTCGAACAAATTTTACAAATATCATATTAGAAATCTACTTTTCACTCATATTTTTATCATATTTTTTAAAATTACTTAGGAAAATGAAAAGTTTTTTTTTTTTGTAACATAATAAATATTGTAAAAAATTTTTTATTTTAATTCAAACTTTCTTTATTTTAAATTTCTTTAATTTTTTGTTCTCCAATTTTCTCATTTTTAATTGCTCAGTTGCCCAACAACTTGCCTTATTCTGCCATTTACAACTTCTACTCGATATATCGAAATGATGATAAAATGGGCAACGTTGTATTAATGGTAAACCCAAAATACAATAATAATATAAACTACAATTAATTGGATGTGGTAATGTATGCTTATGAAATTCTGGACCACATCTAATATTTGTTATTGTACATTTTGCATTCTCTTTGAAATCACAACGTTTCGTTTTATTATTAAAATGTAATTCTGGAATACATTCTTGTTTAATTGGATTACCATGATAACAAATATAATAACGATTACAATCAATTGTACTTGCAATAAATGTTAATATCTCTTTGTTTTCATCTTCGGGACATTCAATGATTTCATCATTAATTTCTGGATCAATGAAATCATGTTTACAAAAAACATTATTTGCCATATCACATATACCAGATTTTGGATCAAAATACATTCCTTCTGGACATGAAGCCAATAATGGTTCACCATTACGACATTGATAGAAAAGTTCACATTTTTCTGGATTTTGTACAAATATTCCATCCTTTTGATTTTCACATAGATTTTCATCATTATTTGATTTAGCTTGATTGTATAATGTAAAAATCAGAAATAAGAAGAGAATGTCGCCACCTTAAATGAAAATTTAAATTTGAAAATATTTTTTAGTAAAAATTTTTTTTTTTCTGTTTTTTAATTTGTTCTTGCGATTTATTTGAATAAAAAAATTTTATATAGAAAAATTAAGATATCAATCTTACGTAGATAGTAGAAATTCATTGCAGATTAACTCACTTTTAATTATGAATATTGTAAAAAAAAAGTTTTTTTTACTAGAGTAAAATATTTATTCGTCTTAATTTTTCCATTAGCTAAATTGTACTAAAAATTAATTAAAAACCAATAAAATTTCAATGTTGTTATAAAACAAAAAACAAATTTTTATTAGATAAAAAAAATTACAACAAAAATTTATCAAACTACCTTTGGGAAGCTCATATTAAGTTAAAATCAAAATCAAATAAAACTACTAAAGCAACTTTGTATATACATAGTTTACATGTACTGGAAAAGAGCTGTTGCTTCTAATGATTTGTTATCTTCGATTCAGACAACATCATTTTAGATAAAAACTTAAAGGAATTTAAAATTATCAGTTAAACACACTATGTAAAAATAATTTTTTCTTACAACTTCATTTAAAATATAACTAATTTGAAAGACTCAACGTTTATGCAGTGGAAATGAGAGGGAACATCAGAATAGAGTAAAAAGCAGGGAGGAGCCAGGAACCAATGAGATTTCGCGTGTACTTACCAGATTACATAGTCTCACTACACACTAATATGTGCGAAGAAAAGATGTTTGAAAGAAGGAACAATTTTTAAACAATGGATGTCTGATTTATTCTTACTTAACAATAAAAGCAATGGAAAAGATTCACATACGCGACTCAGCAAGTGAGACGCGGCAGGAAAAGAAAGGAAGATATCCGAAATGAGGTGGAAATCTTTCGGATCAAAATTTGTATTTAAGAAATATAGAACTATAGATGCTGTTGGTTTTAAGAATAAGCAGCAGAAAATGGACTGATAAATAATGATACATTAGATGAAGATTTAGATCGATGTATTAAGGAATAAAAAAAATATTGCAGGTAGTTGTTATCAGAACTGAAAGAGCTACGGAGACAAGAGTAGAGCCAAAGAAATATTATAGAGAATACAAAAGAAATTAGCTGGACCTCTCGAGAACAATATTTTTGATGAATCTGAGAAAGTTCTACGGAGGCATCCCACAACGGCATGCCCACCAATGTTGTCTACCTAAGCTGTCCCTTTTTCGATGGACCAATACACGCCCATTGAAAAGATGCATTGAAATCTGAGCCCAATTTGCTCAGGTGCTTCTTAAGCCTACAGTATCCCATCAGGAAACCCGTGAGAATTCTCATAAGATTCCTCGGTACCTTTCATTCTCGAAGCCACGGACGACTCTAAATGGCTCCAGGTTTTTTTCCTCCACCCCACCTCTTAGCACTTTATGAATTTTAGTCCAATCACGCAAACGGCTCCGGAGTAACAAAACAAAAACCGACCCGCCGTTTCGCCAGCATATCTGCTTTCAGTAAATGAAGAAGAAAGAAAATTTTATAAAGAAATAAAAAATGGCACGATCCGACCTGAATTAACATTGTTTTTATTTTAGAACAATTTGTGATGGCCTCCCCAAGAAGCGTTATTTTTCTTGTAAAATCAAAACAAATATTTTCTAAAAAAAAAACCAACAATATAAGCATTTAGTTCTTGTGAGTGCTGATATTGTTTTCTAGAATAATTACGAAAACATTAAGTAAATAAATTTAAGTAAAATGTCGTACATGCTGATAACATTTTGCCTTCACACAAATGGCCAAATAAGTACTTACCTAGGTACTACCATTTTCATGTTAATTTTCTTAATATTAAGTGAGTAACATAAAAATTTTTCTTGCATCGTCACTCATGTTTAATGAGAAATTTTACTTACGTTCTAAATTACACTCAAAATAACACCTAATTTATCAAAAATTACAGTTAAATTGTAAAAAAACATTTACGACAAAAATATTTTTCAGATGAAAAAAATTCAAGGTTAAACGTACTCTAACAAAATCTCACAAAATATGCTCGAAAATTCACTTTGGATGTGCTTGTCAAATTTTCAATTTTTTTATCTTTGTTTTCTTAACATTCATTTGTTTCTTATCGAAAAAAATAGAAAATTACAAATTGATAAAATTATTTCTAATAAAAAACTGAGTTCATTAAAATTAACAAAAATTTTAAAATGTTCCCTTTGTCCTTGGAAAAATTGTTTTCAACTTAGCAAAAAAAAAATTTTGCCAATTTTAATTTCACCTTGATTTTATTGCGTTCAGAAATGGTAAACTGTACTCAGTACAAGGTAATAAAACGCTTTGCAAAATAATTTTTCTTACACTTTGAAAGCAGACAAACAATATTCGAGGTCTTTTACTTTTATTGACGAATTGTTATAGATCGAGTGGACTATTCAAATAAAAAACTTGGATTAACGAAAACAGCTTTGGAAAATAACAGTCGATTTTGTTAGCAAACATTTTTGAATTTATTAACAGTAAAAAATTGAGTGGCCACTGTTCTCTCAATATTTTATAGCAATTTTAATCTATTCAATCTAATTTCTAATTAAGGCGCAATAATAAATGTCCAAAAATCCTATCTACTTAAATGGACACGTTGGAAATGCAGCCGATTGCATTAGAGTCTTTAGAAAAATTTGTTTTAAATTTTAAACTTTGGCGCAATTGTAAGTGACCCGTTTTTTAATTGATGCTTCCATTCACAGTTTTAGACGCTAAAATTAGTATCTTATTTTAGAAAATTAGCAAATTTGGAACTGTTTCTCACAACTACTATAATTGCATTCTATTTCTTAATTAAATGTAAAATATTAAGTTTTAGGAAAAAAATATTAAAAAATTTCAAATTTTTCATTTCATTACAATTTTATTAAATCTCACTATTCCGTAATTTTGTCAACACAGTTTGATAAGTGTTTTCTAATGCACCTTTTTGATCCTTTGTGAAAATGATGCATGTAAGGACAACGTTGCAATGATATTTGATTCCGATTACAAAAGTAGAATAAATTACATTTATCTGGATGCTCATAATATTCAATATTTAGACTTTTGCACTGAGGTTCGGTTGCAACTTCTTCAGATGTCTCTATCTATAAAATTAAAATAATATTATAATTAAATCTAAGCAACCTTAATATTTCAATTTAAGAAGATTGGATTAGGCGAATTTTATAGAAATTAGTTTTTCTTTTAAAAAATCACAAGGTGGTTACCCTATTTTTACGTTATTGTTAGAATTACCTTACAATCAGCATTACTTGGGAAATCGCATTTACTGGTCTTTTTGTTAAAGTGTAAATTATCAGCACAATACAATGATATCGGACTGCCATGATAACAAACAAAATATTGTGAACAACTTGATTTACTGCCATAAAATGTTAATTTTTTTAAATTGTCTTCTTCTGGGCAATTTTCATCAGTTTCACTAGTTTCTGTTGTTGTTGTTCTGATTGCTGTTTTTGTTGGTTTTTTAGTTTTTGTAAATTTTTTCGGTGTAGTTGTACGTTGTTTTATTGTCGTTGTTTTCGTTTTTCTTGTTGTTTTTACAATTGGTTTTTCTGATTCTTCAATCTCTTCATAATAGTCATCAGATATTGTTGTTGTTTTCATTTTTCGTGTTGACGGAGTTTCTATTATTGTACTCGTAGTAGATTCTATTTCTAAAGTTTCTGTTTCACATGAACCATCATTAAATATTGGTGTATCTTCCGGACATTTTGCTTCATAACATTGATCTTTATCATTATCACAGTAAATATAATAATTTCTACCACTTGGACTTGAATAAAATCCAGATTTACTATATGCTTTACACAATTCGAAAATTTCATCATTATTTAAATAGTATTCAGCATATTCTGCTTCTTCACCATAATCTGCATCCTCTCCATAATAATCTTGACATAATATTGGTAAAATAACCGAAATCAAAAGAAGGGATAAAGCTATGAAGGTATAAAGAAAATTTTGAATAATTTTTTTTTTTGTATATTAAAAATATGATGATTGAAATAATCAAAGGATAATAATTATTTACTTACTGCAATAGAATCTCATTCTTCCTCACCAAGATAAAATGTTCTTCTTTACAATTCCAATTTTTAAGTAAAACTAAAATTCTTATTAAATAATAATTTTAAATAAACCTTCAAAGAATATCGGCAACAAAAACAAGAAAAAAAAAAACACAATCTATCTTATGATACCGAATTCGATATCGAAATTGCAACATCGATTTTTTTTATCTAAAATTTTTATTCAATTCAGTTTTTTAAGATTTGAGTAGTTTATGTGCCAATCCCTTTACTGTAGTTCAAAAATGGCTCAAATCAATTTTTTAATAATATGCAAAACGTACGACGATTATTTTGAAATGCATATTATAAATTAGTTTTGGAATAACGGCATGAGTTCGGATTTGGAATAAAAAAAGATGCAAAAGCTAAAGGATTTGAGAAGATTTCAACAGTAGATTGAATTGTAGATTATTGAAGAGAGATGTGAATAAAGGGGTTTCCAACCTCCGATCACCGCCGATAGCTATGACTTATTGTAGCCCTCCTGTATCCGACTTATGCTACACCGGTCCCAAGGAAATATCCTTTCAGGGAGTTGGCCGTATATTTCTCAACACCTAGAGGGCCCCGTCTGAACCATCTTTGCCTCCTGACGGCCAGAGCAGGGCAGTCACATAAAATATGTACGGTCGTCTTCTCATCGTCTCAGCAGAACTTGTATGAAAGGAATTTACCAGACAATGACTTGTGAAGAAGCCAGTAATAGCCCGATTTCAATCCATCCCCAACAAAACTGAGGAAAACTTCCTTGAGCAAGATGGAAAGTACAGTTTCGTATGATGATATAAGATAGCTATCCCCAAGATTTCGAAATAGGCAGTACGTTTTTTCGTCTGGTGTTGTGGCAGTATTTTTCAAAAATTGAAAAAATTGAATTTGTCACATTTTCGGTTAAAGCACTTTTTTTCTCGTAAAGCATAAGAAAAAATCTGTTTTATATTTTGTATTCCGATTCCTTGTGTATTAATTGACGTCATTGCTATCAAAATTTATGAGAACAAAAATGAAAAACAAAAGTTATTGATTTCTCTCCAAAAATTTTATTAACTGTTATCGGTCAGACGATTTTTTTTTTGGAAATTACTGTTAATAATAAATTTTTTTCTGTCAGTTTTAAACCAAAAAATATATAAAAAATTCATTTCCGTTATTGAAAGTCCCTGCAATCGTCTAAATGCTGTCTTATACACCTTTTACTTTTTAAATCCCAAGAATATGTACCTGGACATTGCTGTAATGATAAATTACCTTGTTGGCAAACATAGAAAAAACTACATATGTGAGGATGGTTATAATATTCAATATCAGATCTACTTTGACATTTCGGCTTCCAATTACTTCCGTCTCCGTCAATAGCCTTAAATAAAAGTTATATAAATTGTAAAATTTTCTGGTGTGAAACTCAAAAATAGAAGGATTTCCTTACCGAACAATTAACATTCCCTGGATAATCACATTTCTTGGTGTCTGGATTAAAATGGAAACCATTTTCACAAAACATTGCAGTAGGCCGTCCATGATAGCATATAAAATATTGTGAGCAACTATTTTTACTTGGTATAAAAATTATATTAAATGGATCATCAATTTCAGGGCAATTATAACCATTTGATAAAGTTGGAATCGGTGCCGGTGTAGTAGTCTGTGATGTTTCCAAAGTTGTTTGCGTCGTTTTTGTAGTCTTTGTAGTTTTTGTTGTTGGTTTTGTTGCTTTAGTCGTTTTTGTAGTTTTTGTTGTTGGTTTTGTTGTTTTAGTCGTTTTTGTAGTTTTTACTGTTTGTTTGGTTGTTTTAGTCGTTTTTCTCGTTGTAGATGATTCATCAATTTTAGCTGTCGGCGGAGTATCTTCTTCTTCCGTATCAGTGTAGAACTCTTCAGTTATAAGTTCGGTTGTTGAAGATGCTTCGGTAGTAGATTTTGTAGTTGTAGATTTCGTTGTTTTCGGTTTTTTTGTTGTTGGTGCTGGAGTTGTGGGTAATACATCACAAAATCCGTCGACGAATACTGGAGTTTCATCAGGGCATCTTGCTTCATAACATGCTTTTACATCTTCTTCACAATGTAAATAAAATCTTGAACCTTTAGGACTAGGATAATAACCTTTTTCTGGGTAATTTTCACAGAGTATTGCCAAAGTTGGTTCATCGTAATAAATATCAGTGTCATAGTAATAAACTTCATAATCCTCGTTTTGGCAATGACTTTTTGCAGAAAATAAGAATATTAAAATAAAGCCTGAAATTTTTGGTTTATAATTTTAAATAACTGATGAAATTTGAGTGATTTTTAATTTTCAAATAATTTAAAACGAAACTTACTTTTAATAACACTCATTCTTGGTAAAGTTTTAACAAATAAACTTTTCAGATTGAAGTTTCAAAAATGAATAAATACTTTTATTGGGGAATGGATAAATTCTTAAATAAAATTTTGACAAAAATTTCTTTATTAATTGTTTAAAATTAATCTTTAAATCATGATAAATTCTAACAACATAATATTTAAGACTACAAGAACATAAAGATTACGAGCAATCTCTCTTCTTTTTCGGTGAAATTTTTGTTTATCTATAGTTTTATACCATGTTGTATTAGTCTTGTATCATCAGTAATTAATCAGGTAATTTACTTGGATCTTATATTTTTCTTTATGTTTTCTACTCTTTTTCTTCTATATATACTCGTATAATTTTATTTTCCATTGTGCTTGATGAGGGAAGAAATCAAAAATTAATCGATTGGAAATTTTTAATTGAATTTCAGGAATTCATTTAATGAGCCGTAATTTTATCTTTATTTTATTTGTGCTTTATAAAAGAATTACAAAAATTAAGTTTACAAGCAAAATTACAAGCTAAAACATTATGTAAAATTACTGAAATTGCGAGAAGAAATAACAATGTAGATAAATAAAAACTAATTTGAACCGACACGAATGTTATTGCGTCAGGTTATGTTTAAGGAGAGTCGTGTGCCGTTCAATAATGTCTTCGTTTAAAAATCATTCAAAATATGATTCGGTCGGTTATAATCCATCGCGTTAACTAGATGAACTAATTTCACTTGAAATCGAACTTGCATATTACCTGCCTCGACATGACAAAAATTTGTCGATTATTAAAGTTTATGTATCTTGAAAATTGTAGTTTGTTCATAAAGGGTAAAGATTCACCACGAGCACGTTTAAGAATTTTTTGTACCCTTCATAAATCTACATAAGTATAGTCACTTAAGAAATCAAAGTAAAAATTATAATAGAATAAATTACTAATTTGTAATGCTGCATTAAGGTTCAACATTTTAAAACACCATCATCATGGTTACATAATCATTGACATCATATTTATGTGAAATAATTGTCACCCTAAAGAATTGTTGCCTGCAAAAGAGATAGGAAATGAAAAATAATAGTGAAATTTTATATTGTTTATGAAAGTGCAAGAAAATAATATTGAATTAACGAGATATGGTTGATTGTATCCTGTCAACTCTGTGGCATCCATTTGAATTAATATATTAATAAGTTACATTGGAACATTTTATGAAAATTTCCAGAGTTTTCGACCTAAACTACAATTTTCTCAACTTAAGATTTTGTTTAGTTTGTAAGATATGGAATAATTACTTTGGAAGCTATATTAAATAAATGATTAATGAAAAATTGCAGAACTTAATTAGCAGCTTTCAGTTATTCCATCCGACCAAATAAACAGGCATTATAAATCACCCCAGAATTCGACAATTTTTCTCGATGTTACAATTGGAGTAGTAGAATCTACAATATCCTACGTACATACATGATTCAAAATAAAATGATTCATCAATTCCGTTCCATTTCATTGAGCTAAATCTCTGATGTCATAGCGATAACTTAGCGAATTCAAAATACTTAATAATAACATACAAATATGTACGTCAGATGAAAAACACCAATATTCAATTAAATCAAAACTAACAACTTATATTGAATTTCAATCAACTGATAAAATAACTGTTTATAAGAAGTGCGATAAAATTTTCCATAACTATATGATTAAAATTTATCAAAAAGAAAAACTGAACTTCACTTTTAAATGGTGACTCGAAGTGAGCTAACAAAATAATTTTTAACAGTTTTTGTCAAAAACAAAAATTTCGGGCACTTATTTAAAAAATTAAAATAAAATTTCGTGCACTTATTTAAAATTTATTTAGCGAAAAAGGTTCTGATAAAACGACTTTAAAATTATAATGAATATTAAAATTTTATTACGATATACGATAATATTCACATTCACGATATTGAATTTATCGATTGGACTCCAAACAATTAATGAATTATGTGAAGATTTTCCAATTGGTACACGAATACCACATCCAGAAGATTGTAATCTCTATTTGAAATGTACTAAAGATAATAACAAATCATTTGCATTAGTTATTAGCTGTCAAAATAATATATTTTTTAACCCAAATACATTAGAATGTGATCCGAATTATGAAAGTGAAATATGTCCAAAACCGAAAACATCACCAATTTTCAATAGAAGTACAACAACTAAACGAAAAACAAAAAAGACAACAACTTTAAGAACTAAAACGACTAGATCAACACAGAAAAAAACAAAACAAACAAATAAATCAACTTCTACTAAAACTACAATAGAACCAACTATAATACCTGATGATTATGAATATTATGATGATCTAACAACGACACCAATCAATACAAATAATGGAATACATTGTCCCGAAATTGATAATGATCAAGTGAAATTTTTAGAAAATCTTGATGATTGTACTAAATATTATATGTGTTATCATGGACGTGCCCTACCATTAAGATGTTGGAATGGATTACATTTTAGTATGAAACATATGACATGTACACCACCTGAAATTGCAAATTGTTCTGTAAGTGAGATAATTTTGATTTTTTTTCTTTTTAATTTTCTTAATTTTTTTTTCACTTCAAGGCTAATGCAACACCATATCCGAATTGCCCAATTTTTGGAAGAGCTTTATTACCACATCCAGAAGAATGTCGATATTTTTTCTATTGTACAAATGGTATTAAAACAATTCAACAATGTGGATCATTCGATTATTGGGATATTATTGAAAAAAAATGTAAACGAAAATCCGAAGCTATTTGTTACTCAGAGAATAAGAAGAAAATTTGATATGCTCTTGAAATTTTCGTTAGAGAAAAACAAATCCAGTTTCTAAACTTGTATAATTGTAAAATTGTATGATAAAATATAGTTTACTTCATCAATTCGTTCGTATGCTCTCTAAGATGTTTTTTTTGTTTTATATTATCTGTACAAATACATAAATATTCTGATTACATAAATATTATGATGGTAGCACACAAAACTTGCAACACTGTTAGAGTTCTGAGTAATATCAACCACGCACCTGCTCAATATTTGGATTATTACTTGCAAACTTAATTCATCTCTATTATATATGTAAAAGACTTAAGATTACTTTTAACACAGCATTTAATTATTAAATTATTTAGAGCAATTTAAATCAGGCGTTAAAATTTCTGTTGTATTGAAACACAAATTATTTTAATTACAATAATTATTTCTCCAATATTATTTTTAAAAATTACCACCGCTACAATGTTTGGAAGAAGAGTAATAATTAATAATGGTAATTTACGTGCGTTTAATAACGTATTATTTAGGTCAGATTAAAAAAATTACAAGATTTATTAATTAAATTATAATATCCTCTAACAAATAATATTGAAATTGATTTCCAATCGGTCATTAATTCAGACAAGAGTGTAAGTGAAAAGAAAGAAATATTTGCAAAAAGAATTGTGCAAATATTTTAGTGTCAGTTGTTTGGATAGCATTTAATAAGCATCATCGTGAGCAAAAACGTCGAGTCTACAGTGATATTGAATAACAAAATTTGGTATGTTGAATTACGGAAGTTGTGAGCCAGAATTTTATTGAGGCTAATACTAAAGCAATCTATATTATTAACGGCTGCATCTATTTTCATACCAATTAACAAACGCACATATAAAATTGTTTCTTAATTAAATTAACAAATTCTTGAAAATTTCAATTAACATTTTCCAATAGTAGTGCGTTTCCAATTAATTTCAAGAAATTAAAAATTTTAAATAAAGGTGTTTTACGCATAACCCCTCGAAATTTTGTATTACCTACATGTTATTAGTGTTGTATAGGTATAAATGTATAAATTTGTAATTATTATAAAGATTTATGTTTTCCATTTCTTATAGAGACCTACATAAAAGATTAAAATAATAACATTGCAATTAAAATTATTTATTGTACTTAATGTGATTATAAAGTGTTAGACAATGTGGTACATGCGATTTAATCTTATTAAATTTTAAATGTTTTAAATTGTTATACGTAAATTATGCAAGTAATTAATGTGGAATACCTATATTTTATTGGTAATATAGTTATTAAATTGAATATTACATTGGTGGGCCTCAAAAATTTTTAATTTTCGAATGCATTCCTAATTCAAATGTAAGAATGATTACAAGTAGTTAAAAATACCGCGGTTGCAGCACTATCTTAAATTGTTAAGCATGCAAAACTGGCCGTTGTATTAGGCATTAAGCTTGCAACCAATATTATTTGTTCGTCAATATTACAGATTGCATTTTTAGGTATTAAATTCTCGCAACAATTATTGAAGTATTTGAAAAAGAGTTTAGAATTTTGAAGCCATTAAACCTAAATCACTAAACTTTTTTAAAATCTTCTTACTGCTTCAAAAATTCAAGAACCTGAAAATGAAACCAGCAACATTTTAATATTTAAATAACGTGTTGTGTTTGTAAATTTGTTACTCGAATATTTAATTTTAATGAAATTAATGAAATCCTTGCTAAAGAATTCTATATCCTCCATCTCTTGCTTTCTTTTACCTTATATAAAAAGAAAAAGCAAATGGTTTTGATATTTTGTTTAAAAAGAAGAAGAGTTTTAATTTTCTATTTTCTATTTGCCATATACTTACTTAAGGATATCATGTGTATTGGATCCTTTCTGGAGTATTGGCTCAGTAAACTTTGTTTCTTATATAAAATTTTTAGATAATAACGTAAATATTTTTGAATTGAGTTTTCTCTTTTGATTTCCTGTTGTAAGCAAACAATTTATATTGTCTTTTCTTATACTATTTAAAAAGTTGATAAGGTAAGATAAAGACAAAAATAAATAATAATAAAAAGAAGAAAATAAGCAAAGAAAATTTTCACAAAGAAATTTTCCTACCTTTTCACCTAAAACCCTTTTTTTTCTTTTCCTTTTGTTTTTTCCGGTTTCTTTTGGGTGGTTTTCTTCTAATTTTGATATTATTTTTTACATTGGGATATTATTGGACATTTTGTGTTGTCACAAGCAGATGACTTATCTTGATGAAGGTAAAAGTGTCATACAGTTTATAAGGTATTATTGTGTAGATTTTGTAAAGATGCAAAATCCATTTTATTCGGATTTATTTGCGTTTTTCTGATATTTTATTTATTTCGTGTATTTTATCCCTTTCTTTTATCTCTATATGAAAAATGTTTTGTAATAAAATTTGAATACAATTAGAAATTTCATCGGTATTCTGTGGCAATAGTAAAACTTGATTTAATTTTGATTTTGAGATATTTGAACAAGGGTGTTGAAAATATTGAGAAACCCTTCAGATAGGTGTGCCTGCAAACTTATAGCATTTAAGAATGTTGTATGGTATAAGACAAAAGAGACCTTAGTTTACACAGTTTCTGAGGATTTTTTTTTTTTTATTTTAGTACATGTGTTAAAAATCATCGAAAGACAAAAATTGGTGCACTCAAACTGTCATCAGAAGTATCAATAGTGGGTAACTTTAACACAATCTTAAACGTACCTGGATTGTAATAAACTCCAAAAACTAATCAAACTAACTAACCATTAATTTTGCTCTATCGTTTTTTTGTGTCTATATTCTGTGAAGTAAGAGACGGAAATGCTGTTATTTATTATTAATTAGAAAACGAATATATATAAAAAACTATCGGCTCCTTGATAGTAGATCTGGATTGTTAACATACAATAAGCTGTTGATATATAACCAAATGATAAAGCCTTGTTGTTCTAACCAAACGTACATCAAATAAATACAAATTTTCCAGAACAAGGCCTTTCATAATATGGAAGGTGCTCCCTAGTATGTGCGCAATTGTGACATTCATAGGGATCTGGGTCTACTCCACGTAAGTGAGAAAATAAAGAATTGTGCCATGAAATGTAGGGCGCATTTGGAGCAGTATGTAAATGTCGAGGCCTGGCAAATTATAGAGGAGAGCGTTTGGACGAAGAGACTTAAGCGAACAATTCTAGCGTAAGTGATTGCAATTTTTTCGTTTATTTTTACATTTACTCATTGTGTTACTGTAAATTTTTTACAAAAATTAATTGCAAAAAATTACTGATTTTAATAAAGAAAAGGAAAACAATTAAGAAAATAGATGACAACATTAAAATACCAAAACATCACACCTGGAAAGAGTTACTCTATTTGTATATAACTGTTATTTAGAAATAAAAGTGATTGACGTATCCAACTTTCAATTTTTCAAGTTAAATTTAATAAAAATTATTAATTCTGCTTTATGAAGTTTTGTCTAATAACCACAGATTGTGTGTAGGCAGTAAGGTATATTTATTTACAAGAAAACTAGTATGAATTTTCATTAGATTTCATTCCTGTATAGGTTGATTTTAACAAAACATAGGATTATGTAAAAGGTAGATCAGAGAACCTTTATTAAAGGGATTAAATTAATGTGAATAGCGAAGTACCTAAGTTTTAATTTTCTTTAAGTTTTATTTTAATGGATGAAAAACTTTTTTTATTGTTATGAGAATATTAAAATTTTACAAGTATTTTTCAATAGAATAGAGGCTAATCTGGCTAAAAAAATATGAGAAATAAGATTATAATGGTTATTATTGAAAATAACCCTTTGTTATTTTCCATCTGTTGATTAATTTAGAGGTGATAAATTCAATGAATATTAAAAATTAAAACTTCAACAATGAGTAAGTGATTAAATGATTTAATTGTTAAATTAATTTGGTTTCTAATATGTTGCTAAAATCTGGCGGCATTTCGTATTTTAATGAAAAGGAGTGAATTTATTAGGTATGCTAGAAAAATGTGAATTTGGCTTTTAGTACAGCTTCGCTTTGTGCCATTCAAGTTCCTTTTTATGAATTTTATTCGCCAGCTAGGCTCACTAAGAATCGGAACTCAAATATTAAACTTCAAGTATGCAAAATCGGACCACAAAAAAGTCCACTTCCCGAGGCTTGACTTTTTTCAAAAGTTATTCAACCGGAACGTATCAAATATTGACTCACATATTATATAAAATTTCATCATTTAGCCGAGACACATTAGTGCACACAAAGGTTGACAGGCTGACATCTTGTTAAAAATGACTTATTTACGATTCCCTTCCATAGAGAAGTGCGTTTCCACCGAAAACGCAATATATGCAAAATTTGGAGCCATCATACATCACCTCCCTTCTTGTATGAAATGCGGCCGGTAATAAGGTAAGCTTAAGTTTTCAAAAATTTTGGTAATGTAAGAAGATTATCTTCTGGTTACTAGCCACGTGTTCCAGTTTTGATTGTTTCCACAATATCCTTAAAAACAATTTCCTTTTTCGTTCATTTTTAATTTTAAATTATTTACATTTTTTATATAATAATCATCATTATAAAGCAAGTGATAAAATCTTAAGAAAGCTCAATGTAAATACGATATGTTTGTATTACTTAAAAATAATTATACTCTACGACCTGCAGTGCAAAAAAAAAAAAACGAGATTCATCTTTCATTATCGAAAAGCACCATATTTTGCTCAGTAATGGAAAAGTTTGTATTCGCATAATTAATTTGTAATCTTACGCGTGCCATCATTATAATAATTAAAGGCTTTTGTGGAAAAAAAAAACAAAAAAATAAAAATTAAGAATCATGAATGAAAAAATGGCATGAAAATGAAAAAAAATTTTTTTAGCGAATCATCGTTATCTTCTCTGTCAAAGAAAAGAAATAATTATTCAATTAAAAATTTTACATTGTCAATATTGTATAAGGAAAAAGTTTTATTTCATTATAGCCATTTTGAGGTGCAAAATAATTTGAATTTTAAAATATTCTCTGCCTTTGAGTTACGCCTCTTCAATCATATACTCATAGAGAAAGATAACATTAAAGTTACCTGAACCAAGTGTACACTTACTCTGAAAGATACCTGATATTAGATCAAAAATCTTAACAAACTGAATTAATTTACTGATTCAAGCTCTCCTTTTAACCAATTATTGTATTAAATTTTAGATATTTTCTAGATTTTTTAAAAAGAATTGCTCATTAATTTTTATCATATCTAATATTAATAAAATCACTGAGAGAAACTGAAGCGTACTCCTCTCACTACAATTTCTCTCAGTGTTTAAATTATGTACACTGAGAGAAATTGAAGTACACTTTTATAATTAAAGCAATTTGGTCTAATTCAATTTTAAAATGACCAATATTTTAAGAAACCTAAAACTTACCATGGAATTATGAGTCAACTTGGCAAATCTTCAAAATGTGGCACGCTCACTGCAAAATTGTACAACGCTCAAAGTTCAATTGGAAGAGGTCCTTAAAAAGTTGATTCTTCTGAAAACACTCTTAATTTTTTTTTAATATTTATAAATTTTTTTTCATGTATATGTAAGGGCTTTATGCATAAAATCACTGAAAAATCCATGGAATAAGGAAAATTCTTTTCTTTTTTGAATTTTTCTTTTGTTCCAAAGTTTTTTTATATTGTATGGTGTAAATGTAATTGTGATAGGGACTAAAATGACAAATAAATA